AGAGAGAGAGAGAGAGAGAGAGAGAGAGAGAGAGAGAGAGAGAGAGAGAGAGAGAGAGAGAGAGAGAGAGAGAGAGAGTGAGAGAAAAGAGAAAGAGAGAGTGGCGGCGACCTGCACGGAGGGTTGCGGCGAACTCGCCGCCTCTCTCTCTCTCTCTCTCTGTGGCTCGCTGGTTTCGAGAAAAGAAACGGGATGCATCTTCCCGCGATAGCAGGAAGATGCATTCCCGTTTCGTTTTTCGAAACGAGACTCTCTCTCTCTCTCTCTCGCGCGCGACTTCAACTTTTTGTCCGTTCGTTTTTTTTTTTCCGTCTATGTATTTGTTTTTTTTTTTCTTTTTTTTTTTTTTGTTTTCTCTAAGTGTGTCATTCCTAGGGAAGCGGAGTCCGGCCTTCGCGCAGCGACCCGGCCTTCCCTTGGGCGACCCCCCTAGGGCTGCGGTGCGTATACGGGAGTGCCCGCGGCCGATAGTTGAGCAAGGTACTGGTGGTTTAAGGGTGAGTCGAATATAACACCCACGCATTATTCTTGGGCTTTCCAGTTTTGAGAAAAAAAGTGGGAAAGTAAGGTACCCATATACGTTCCATAATGAACTTAGCTGGCAGTACTACCAAAATGGATACAATTTTCTCCAAATGGAACGGAGACACTCCTATCCTAGCGTGTGCTTGCTTTTTCTATCTTTGGACACGATTTGAAGCGCCAACCTGGGTGATTTTGGCCCATGGGAAACTTTTTGCCGCTTGACACCCAATTGGCGCTTCCATTGTAATATAGTTTTTTCCAAGACTGACAAGTGTAGATAAGAATTTAACTTCATCGCCAAGCTCTATCTTCGAGGATATTCTCAAATTATTAAACTAAATACAAATATCATCGACAAAGTTACAATTCTGTTTGGCCAAACAATGCCAAACAATAAGGTCCAGTCACACCGAGAATCCAATCTTTCTCATATCGAACATAATAGACTCGTACATTTTCAACAATAAAATCACTACATAAGTAGTCTATAAAAGAGAGAGGGGCAAAGGAACGGGCTGTAGATATTTGCGGTCAATAGATTTTTGCATCCTTCTGCCTCTCTATAGACCAGTCCGCACGATTCAAAAAGATAAGAGAGAGCTTCAGCGGAAGGGGTCAATAGATTATAGCATCCTTCCTTTTTTTTTTTTTTTTTACTAAATTTTTACCCGCACGGCTTTAAAGACGGTTCAGCTGAACTAACATGCATGCCACACGATCACTACCGAAAAAGCCAACACGAAGTCTGCCGGAGCGCCTGGCAAGGAAACCCCAAATAAAACAAGCTGAAATCTCTTGTCACACTTGTCATCATGACGGGGCCAAATGACTAGCTCGACACTTTTTGGCACCCTCGCAATTACTCCGTCATTCGAAAAACAGGCACACATTTTATGATGGTTGCTCTGACAGCAGGCCTGTAAGACGACAGAGACCTACTATTCAGTGCAACCGCCTTCAACAAGAACAACAAAGAAACATTCACATTGACATGCGTTACGCACACACCTTCAGCAAGCATCATCAAGCACAACAACATTCGATACATGTCCATGTGTGTTATCATGAAACGCATCTCTACGAGGCAAACGTGCCATCCCTGTCCTCTTTTGCCTCCCACACACCCCGTCTTTCACTACCTCCTTCCCTATGCACACCATTACCCCTTCCGATACTCTGCCATCACACCACCCTCCCCTGCTCCACCACCACCTCCCCTTGTGTGTGCCGTACCCTTCCTTCACTGCCTTCCAACCCCGACTATATCCCTACTCTCCGCTCCCCCCTCCCCCCTCCCCCCAAAACATTCCCCCTCCAAAATACTGTCAATTGCGGCCACATCCGCCTCTTGTCCCCCTCTCTACCGCAACCTCGTCATCCCCCTTCTCCTCATCCCCTACCCCCACCTTGGGCCCCAACTTTCCTCGTCTTCCCCTGCCTGCACCTTTGCCACCTCAATCGCAACTCGCCCACCTACTCATCTCCAGACTTCGCCCTGTTGTTACAACCTGGTCTCCCAAAGCCCTCACCTCCTCCTCTTGCGTGATGTCATGCTGTGCTCCCCATACCCTCCCCATCCTCTTTCCATCATCCATAACATTGAGCGATGCCTATCCCCTCCTCCACTCCGTTGTCCTTTCACGCTGTTCTATGCTCCTCCCGTCTCCCCCCTACATCCCACGGTCCTCTCCATCCCCCTCTTCCAGCTGCCCTTCTCTCCCCTCCTTTTCCCCACTTCTCATGTTATCCTCTCTTCCCTTCCAATGTTCACCCAATCATGCCCAACATTCCATTGTCCTCCTCATCCCCCTCTTTCACCTCCCCTTCTCTCCTCTCCTTTACCTGAATTCTGATGTTCCAACTCGCTTCACTCCATTCTTCACCCAATTGATTTTCATATGCCTCCTTCCCCTCTCTCCCCYCCCCCCCCCCCCCCCCTTTTCCTTTCCTCAATGGCTTCCCTCATCCTGGCTCCCCCTTGTCCTCCCCTTCCCCCTAATCCCATCCCCACCACAACGGCCGTACACATTCAGGTTTCCCCTGATCTCAACTCCCCCAAATCACCTCCCCCTCCCCATTACGGTCCAATATAGACTCCTCCACGTTGCCCTCTCCCTCCCTCCCACTTCCTAATCATATTTCCTAATCACATCCCCATCCGCCTCTTTCCATCCCCATTTTTTTCCGAATGCTCTCCTCCTTTTAGCGAGTCATGACCGCATCCGCATGATGTATTGAAATGCACGGCTGCAATTAACGTTGTGTCCTTTTTCATGTCATTGCATTGTATAAAGACGGAGCAGAGCAACATGCCAACTCAATTTCAGGACAAATGAAAACAAGCACTCCCTGCAAATGAGGGGGGGGAAAAAGTTACATTGACCTACCTTTCAGGATCTTTAAGAGTAAGAAAAAAAAAACACTTTCTTCTTTAGGACAAAGTAGGAAAAAAAAAAAAAAGAAAAAAAGTAGGGGTACTTCACCTAGTACTCACTCATTCCTCCCGCTCCCTCTGCTGCTTCTCTCCTTCCCCTCCTCCCCCCGCCCCCCTCCTCCTCCTCCTCCCCCTCCCCCTATCACTTGCCTTCCCATTCCACCAGAACAAGGTAAGACTGACTATGTTGAAAATTGAAATCCTGCTAAGGCATCAGTGCTGCAAATTCTACAAAAGAATCGGTGTTCCGATCCCAACCCACCACACCATTTCATCGCTCCAGCCCAATCACCATATCATCACAACAGAGRCAAAAATAGGCCACGTAAACCTGCAGACCCACGTGGCTCGAGATCTAGAGCGGTCAGTGAAACGCCGACCTGCAACCTCATCAAACCATCACTCCCCATTGTTGTTTCTCCACTGTTTACAACAGTCCCACCATCACCATAAGATCAAGGGGTTTCACACACCGTTGAGGATTAAGCCGCTTAATCGCTGCACAAATCAGATAGAAAGGCAAAAGGGGAACCACAGGAATTCGTGGAGGCGCACTTTCTCCTTCAGCATGACCCTTCCGTCAGCAGACAGACATGAGGGAGGAAAGGACGAGTAGGCAGGGAAGGAAGAGGGAGCAGGGCGGGAGGCGGGAGGCAGGGGGCAAGAAGGGAGGAAGGGAGGAGAAAGGGGGAGAAGGGGGGGAGAAGGAGGGAGAAGGGGGGGAAGGGGGGGGGAGGGGGGGGAGAAGGGGGGGAGGGAAGAAATGAGGGAGGGAAGGAAGGAAGGGGGGAGGAAGGGAGAAAGGGAGGAAGGGAGAAAGGGGGGAAGGGGGTAGAAGAGGGGAGAAGGGGAGGAGAAGGGGGGCAGAAGGGGAGGAGAAGGGGGGGAGAAGGGGGGGGAAGGGAGGGAGGAGGAAAGGGAAGGAAGGGGGAAGGAGGGAGGAAGGCAAAGAAACAGCGGTTCGACAAAGTTGCAGTGTCTGTGAAGGAGGAAGAGAGGAAATAAGGAGCCACCTATTCAAGAAGAGCTCAAAGCCTGCCAACAACAAAATTTCTAGGCCGGAGTGGGAGCGAGGGAGGGTGGGAGGGAGGGAGGGAGCACGGCCAGGCAGGTGAAGCTTTGGACAATCCGCTCAGAGTTTCTCCTCTCTATCCAATGTATCTCTTTGACAACTGCTTCCCAGCTGCAAAGCCTGCCGCCGCCAATCCTCCTACCGCACCCGCGATGGCTGTAGTCCGTGGGCCAGCAGCTGCCTTATATAATGCCCCAGTCCCAAGCCCTGCAAGAATACCGTTAAACACGTCATCTGATCCCCAATAAGAAAACATTGCCCCTTCCATTCCCATGTACAATAAGCCCAGAATTCCCAACGTGTTTCCCGCATTCCTCCCTCGGTGCCCCGTTGCATTGAGTAATCTGTTTACGCGGAGCTTAAGCATATCCCCTGCTTCTTTCAACCTGAGCCCTTCTACAAACCTCTGGGACCCACCAGCCAAAGCCCCTGTGACGTACGCAACCCCAGTGTAAAAAACTAAGTAGTCGTTCCAGCTCCGCCTCTGAATGTTAGCTTCCTCAGAGAACAAAAATTCTGGAGCCGGTGGCAGTTTATAGAGGTTAATATCCTTACGGTCCAAGGCACCATGCAGATCAGCATAGGGATTGTACAACCTCACACCCTCATCAGGCCCCAGGGGGGACACGTCCCTTGACCTATCACCCTCGTCCCTAAGCATCTTCCCTTTCCCTCCTTCCCTTTTGCCCTCTTTTTGCCAAAAAACGCCTTCCCTTTCCCCTCCCCTCCCCTCCCTTTCCCCTCCCCTCCCTTTCCCCTCCCCTCCCCTCGCCTCCGCCCTCACCTTCTCTCTGTTCACTGGCTCACCTTCTCCCTCGCCGTGTGTTTTTTTTTGTTGATGTCAACCTTCCTTCATGCATGACACGCATACACACATTCCGCAACTCGTGTGTTTCCGTTGGGGTTCAGGAGAGCCGTGTGTGATTTTTTTTCGTTGATGTCAGCCTTGCTTCATGGGGGGACCACACCAAGGGTTCAAATGGTCCTTGAGTCACCGAAGAGCGGAGCCCAGCCAGGGGGGCAAGCCAGGGGGGGGGCCACTACTGGCTCTTTCCTTACGAATTGAAGATCCGACCAACGTTTCCCTTGGATGACTACTAAGGAGATATACCCTCAGTAGCCCAAAGCCTGATTTGCCACGCATCGATTTTGGGTGGCCAGCATGAGATATACTCCTTGCCAAA